AACAATTTATACCAAAAATTCCATCACATCTATATCTCATATAAATTTATACTTTATAAACATTGCTTTAGCAAGCATTTTTGCCAAATGTAATCCTGGCGAAGTAACTTGCCGCGTCTCGGGATATCCACATGTTGTAATCGTTTGGCGTGGCCCAGTGGACGCAGACAGACATTATATTCCAACTCCTATTGGTGCAGCAAAATATTACGATGGAAAATTACACAATATTCAAAACACCGTTTTAAATGCTTATGGGGTGAACGGACCATTAGGTATGAGCTTATCTGATGATTGATAACATTTATCCCTTCTATACTCATTATTTTCCACCTTATCGTAAATCCTCTTTCTTTTCCGGTTAAACGGAATATCACGATTATTCGTAATCTGCTGTCATAAAGAGTGGGAAACTTTCACTCAATTTACCTCGTTTTGCTTACTGTGTTTATCATAAACTTATGGAAGCAAAAGATACAGGTTGTGAAGTAAAATTACTAACTGAAAGTGTCTATAATCTTAAGAAATCTTGCTTAAACTTACAGCTCATTCAGTTATTCGTGCGCGAAACAGGGATGTTAAACCGGAATCTTGCGTTCCGCTTGATCTGATTCACTCTTCTGATGTTAACCCTAACGATCTGCCTGCTGGTTTCACCAATATAAGTCAGGTATAATTTCTAACAGTAAATAATTTAAATGTCTTGTTTTGTCGCATTAACGTCTCAAAAGCATAAATGAAACGTCTAGATTCCGCCAGTTCTCTTCCGCTATAATTCTATGGATTCTATGCTGTTCATGATGCGATCATTCGCTGCTACGCGTTTTGGTTCATACCGTCCGCGATCGGGCTATAGACGTATGCGTCAAGTTCGGCATGCTATAATATACCTTGCCGTAAACGAAGACAGTGAATGAAGCTGCTTCCGCACCGCTCTTCTGTTGATTGTTATAATAAATTATTGAAGAAACTTTACGAAGAAAAGATCAACGTTATGATATCATTTTGCGGTATGCCTTCTTGTGCAAAGTGCAAAATACTTCTCGTAATATTTCAAATTTGCAAAATATGAAATTTTACCTATTATTCTTTAAAGTGATCTGTAAAAAGTCTGGATTATTCTCAGTTCATCCTTTAAATATTGCACTAATATATTTGAAAATTTCAGATAATTTTCCGGTGCATTATCATTTTGCTGTAGATGTAAAGTGATAAAGTTTTATCTCTTTTTGTCATTCATTAAATGAAATTTTTTCAAAAGGTTAACATACCAAGTGATAACTTCCATATACTACAAGTTTCATGTCGTATTTATGGATAGTAATATTGATTGTTTTTTTTTAGATGCTTAAACATGCAGCATGGATAAGAACCGAGAAGTACATAATGATTAAAAATTGAGATCAACTAATTGGACTATTTCTGGATTATACTTTAACACTTCTTAGCTGGAAGCCTAATGCTTCATGACATAAAGCTTTGTATTTCTTGACTGAAAGCTTCATACTTGCGGGATCGGAAATCTTGCAATTCGTAGCTAGAAGTCTGCATTTCATAGCTGAAACCTATGCTTTGTACTTGGAATTGGAAACTTCATAACTGGAAACCTACGTATTTTTTAACTGGAAGCTCTATATTTCGTAGCCGGAAATCTTAAATTTCGCAACTGAAGACGTTGTATTTTGCAACTGAAAGCTGCTTATTTCATAATCTTAAATCATTCAACATATATATCATGTGTCGCATGTGTAGGAATTAATTTCTGCGAAAGAAAACTGGGATATTTTCAGCTAATTCGTCTGCTATGGGCAATCTATACACTGTTACGGTGCCATCAACTTTTCCAAACACTGTTAGCATCAACAATACAGTGGTATATTTCAATACTTTAACTTACCTGTATGTTTCCTGTCTCATCAGGCTTTTATTTCAAGAAGAAGATGGAAATGAAATCGAGACGCTATTATTTTTGCACTTTATTCCCAAAGTTAGAAACAGTTTTTTCAGCCTTCGATGGCAGACTTAACAAATCAAGCTCCTGTGATTTACATAAGATCAAACCCTTCCAATGCAGCTTTTGATACTTCAATTGATTCGTATCCAAATTACATCCTTACTTCTCCCAATCAGTTTGCAACCAATTTTCCACCATCAACAATAAGTAGCTCGGCAAACTATTTTGTTACATGTAACTGTGTCACTCCCGAGAATAGCGATCAATCGGTACGAGCTATTTCAAGAATTCAATAATATACATTCTTTATAAAACTGGAAAAGATTGTTCCCAAATTTAAGGGAAAGAATCTGTTTCTGTGGACAGCTTTCTATCAAGACATTAAGTTAAGAAATTGCAAGTTAAAATGGCATTTTATTAACTTTCCAGAAGTTTCTTTCTTATATACTTTTTAAACCGATTTTACAGCGTATTGATAATGCCGAATTTCCAACGCACGGCCAATCCGGCACATCTTCATTCAACTGGCATGCAGCTCCCATGAACAATAATACACTTAGAACTGGTAAGAAAGTAAGAAGACAATATAAAAGTTCAAGGAAGGAACATAAACAAAATTAAATTCTTAAAATTGTTGAAGAATTCAAATTTTGCTCTGAATACTTCAAAATAATTTATTGTCTCAGTAAGAAAAAGAGAGGTATCTTCAGCTATTTATATTATACTTGCAAAATTAAGATCATTGTTCTGATTCCTTCTACAGTTACAGAATATGATATCTGGAAACCTATTCCAACCTTAACCATGAACAACGGCAACTTAACTGAAACCGTTTTCGTGAACAACTATATCTTCGATACGCCGATGCTTACAACTCCAACAGAAAGTCCGAACGTTAATGTGCCGGATGCAGTGCAGTCATTCCAAAATGTAAGTTTGCGAAGCTTCATAAATTCGTTTATTATATGATTGACGACTTTTTCACCTCTCAAAATTGAAATAGAATTATACTGTCTTAGAATTACATTGGCTCATTACAAATAACAGTTCAATAAGAGCCTCGTAATCTTTTCTTTTCGGGGTCGATGTATGATCATCCCCATAATGTTTTGAGCTGAAATGTCATGACACAGAATTTGTTTCATGCAATTTTTGTGCTAACAACTGTCTCACATTTGTAGCTAAACGATCCGGATATGAACGATCTACAGTATAGCCTAAGCAACTTATCGTTCTTGGATATGTCGCCACAGCAGTCCCCGTCCTCACAACAATCCCCACAAGCATTGCCGTCACAGACATTGCCACAAATGTTCCTGGCACATGTATCGCCACAAGTATTGCCACCGCAAGTATCGCAACCACAAGTATTTTCGCCACAGCTTTCGTCGCAACAGATATTTACGCCACGAGTATCGTCATCGTCAGTGCAACCATTAGAAACATTTTCACCCCAACAAATGTTGCCGCAGCAATCAATGCCAATACAACCAATGCCACCGCAGGCACTATCGCCGCAGTCAATGACAATACAACCAATGTCACCGCATGCATTATCGCCGCAGTCATTGACAATACAAGCAGTACCACCACAGGCACTGTCGCCACAGTCAATGGCAATACAACCAATGTCACCGCATGCACTATCGCCGCAGTCAATGACAATACAAGCAATACCACCACAGGCACTGTCGCCACGGTCAATGCCAATACAACCAATGCCACCGCATACACTATCGCCGCAGTCAATGCCAACACAAACAATTCCACCGCAAGTGATGTCGCCACAAATGATGCCTCCACAGGCGCCAATGCGATACGGATTGCCACTACAGATTTCACGTCTGCCAAAGCATTTACCACAGAATCGTTAGGCCGAGTAGAATATAAAAGAAAATGACTTCTGGAAAAATAAAACGAGACAGTCAGAACTTATACGTGAGAGATAAAAATAATTATATAATTCTTTTTATTATGAAAATATTGTGCGTGAAAAAGCTTTTTAATTAGAATTAAGACATAAAATAAAGAAGTTTCTTAATTAAAATTAGTTAAAATTTGACTCAAAAAAATTTCTGAATGGAAAATTTTTAAATTA